GGCTACAAAATCAACACGTTTGAGAATTCAATAATCAAATTACGTTAATACAGTACAGTGAAAGGAGCAGTGTAATATTTAGTATATTTTTTAAACTTCAGGTAGAGCGACTGATATAAACCTGTATATTCAATAAATTTAACGAAATAATATATATTATAAAGTGACCACATTAATCACTAAAATTTTTCAATGCGTGACGAATCACAGAATGATTATCTACACATTAATGATACTCCTAGTGCGGATATTTTTGGCTTTCAAGTATCCCAAAGGATGGAAGTGACAAGACAGAATATGGTCCCCCACTTCATTTAATACTTATGTGATTTATATAGGAGTGCCCCTTTTGATTTTTGCACCCTCTCCTGCAAATATTTGGACCTGCCCCAGTACACAGCCTCTCAAATGCCACTGAAGTCAGCCTTTTCATGAGTGATCAAGAAGTAATTACAATTAAAAAATTGCTTTTGAAACAACTTTAAAAAAATATATATTTAAATTTAGCCCTGGTACAAAATATCCTATAAAAGTGTTTTCTCATTGATATTTGCTAACAGGTTGTCCAGCTGATTGTGATTATGTCTTGACATGCGAAGAGCGTAAGAAAATAGACTCTGGCCTTGATTGGACTAATAACCTAAGTATTAGGGAACCAGCGGTTTGCAAAATTGCATATCAACAGTGTAGGTGTGCTCCAGGAGCAGAGTTTGATGATGAACAAAACAAGGCATTCTCTCAGCTCATCAATGCATTACCTAGTAACACAGGACTATGTGTCAGCCTTGAGGAGAAGTAGTAGTCCCATATTTGTTACTGAATGTAGGGGAATGAGCTGTATAGCCCATTGCTAAGTTCAGCATCTGTCTCTTATACACATCTAGATGTGTATAAGAGACAGATTTTGCTGTGATGGTGATTCTCATCAGCACTGACTTCTGTGAGACAATTGATAATAAAGTATTAAAAACATACAAATATTATGAATTTGCAGAAAATTGGTAATTTCCGGGAGATTCTTGCTTGCTTGAGGGTGTATGGGAGGCTGTCCCTGACTATAAATATTTTTTTTTAAATAGATTTTATTTTCCTCAAACCTTTATTGAATATCCTTGAAAAAAGTGTTATTGTTGGTATTAGCACTACTAATTGTGTACATGCATTTTTTCTACATTAAAAATATACAGAAAATATCTAATTAATTTAGCATGAATACTATTTTTTAGGAGGGACAAACTCTGACGCGCAACGAGTGTGAAATTTGTGAATGTTCGGAGGGTGACTATAACGATGTTGTTGGTCAGTGCAGAAAGCAATGCAGTTTAACAAAGGAGGACTGTTCCAAAGTTTGTCTTATTTTATTTTTATTTAATATCTACAATGTCTTTCTAACTCTTGCGTATGTGCATGTTGATCCATCATAATATAATACAACTGAAGTTCTTGATTTACTTAGCAAAACAATTTCTTTGTCTTTTGTGGGATTTTCCCACTTGTATTTCTCCATTCCTGTTTTAAGAATAAATTAATTAAGCATTTTATTTCATTTTATGTTTCTGATTAGTTCTGATTGTTTTTGTGTATTTCATTTTATATGAAGGATAGGGAGCAAATATTGTTCGGGCTTTCGCCCATTCCCTATCCGGGCAATTCATGATGTTTTTCTCCTATATTCTTTTTGCCAAATAAATATTATTATTATACATTTATAATTACTATTTACAATCAAAACATATTGATGAGATTATATACACATTTATTACTCTTTTAAAAATATATATATATAAAATTTTCCCACCTCAATTGACCATAACACTCACCAAAATGATGAGTCGACGAATGAAACAATCAATTAAAATCAATCAATCAATATATTATTTACTCTATAGCATCTATCCCAGTCACTTAATTCAATCAACCAACCAGCCAATTAGTCAACCAATCAATTATTTTGTATTAATTTTTTTTTTTACTCTTTAAATTTTGGATCATGCCTATATGAAATCATTCCAAGCCAGTTGAATAATTTAAGACTAATTGACTGATAGAACAATCTATCAATAATTCACTTAAACAAAATACTCCATAAACCAATCCACAATACTTTAAAATAGCTATTATGTATCAATAGTATACAGGCGATATGCAGTAAATGGTATAGGTAGTCCCATATTTGTTACTGAATGTAGGGGAATGAGCTGTATAGCCCATTGCTAAGTTCAGCATTGTGTGGTAGAATGGCCACTATAACTGGATTGAAAAAAAAACCTTTGCACACATACAGTAAGTTCTTCTACATTGGAGTTGTGATTAACAGTTGGAATACAGAACTTGTTGCCAAGATTAACTGCAATTTTATATGATTGTTGTCAATGTTAAATGATAAGATATAGAGAATAAATAGCAAAATTACCGATTTCTATCTCTGGCTGGACAGTCAATTATCTACATGTTTCTATACAGTATCAATTTTGGGAGTGAAGTTGCTTTTATCCGATGTATTTTTAAATTTTTTATATATTGCACACATAAGTTCTTCTGCATTGGAATTGTGATTGACACTTGGAATACAGAACATGTTGCCAAGATTAACTGCAATTTTATATGATTGTTGTCAATGTTAAACTGATATATAGAGAATAAATAGCAAAATTACCTATTTCTTTCTCTGTCTAGACAGTCGATCATCTACAACATTTTTTACAGTATAAATTTGGGGAGTAAAGTTGATTTTGTCTAATGTATTTTTAAATTTTTTATATATTGTTTATAGAAGGGACTGTTTTTGTACAAGCCTGAAGGAGAGTGTTGTAAATGTTCTAAACAAGAGACAACAGAGTCACCAAAATATGGTAAAACTAGTCGATAAATGCTGGAATTCACTTGTTTGAAAATACTTACCTAAGTTCTGCATTTATTAAATAAAGCATGTATGTAGTTTAAAACTTATAGTTAACATATATAGTTTATTACATGAGTATTGCAATGTCCTACATCAAGTGAATTAATAATATGTTGTGCTTTGTACCTTGCAGATGGTCATAATCATTTTTTTATTTTATCATATAGATTGTGATGATGTTCTTGGCTTGGATGATACCATATCTGGAGTGAGATCCACATCTGGAGGTGGGATAGGATCTGGTACAGCCATTGATGAGGAAGACCCATGGATAGTAAAAGGAGAACAAGATTCTGACCCCTGGGTTAAGATTGAATTTAATCGCACAGTTACCGTCAATAGGGTCCTCATCCAAAAATATAGGAATTTGGAAGCAATAGAAATTCAGATAGCATATGAAGTATCAGGCCGTGGCTATGTATCTGTAATTGATGTTGACTCAGGATATCCAAAGGTAAAGTTACTTTGTAACTAACACACTACCAAGTACTCTCACTATTGCCACAATAAATAAAAGACAAACAGCACTTTTCAGACTAACAAATTTATTCTTCCGCAAGCTTTCATCAGTGGTCTTCATCAAGTGAGTGCCACAATGTAACAAATCAGAAATGTAACATCACATACACATCTCACCACCCATCCATTGGCAGAAACTGGATTTCTTCTCTGGACCATCAGTAATTATCTTAGTTTTACTAATTTCTTAATAGACATTTAACCTATCCAGACTTCCAAGCGTTGGCGACCACGACGATGGCGTCTTTGAAGTGACACTTCCTGAAGCTATTGCTGCAACAACAGGTGTCAAGATCACAGTTGTGGAGTTTGCAGACAATGGTTTAAGTCTACGTTTTGATGTAAAAGGATGTGCTGTTGGTATGTGTAGAAAATTATGTTTTTCCCATCGGGGTTTGTGCCAATTAAAACATTGAGGGTTTCACCTTTAAATAGGGAATGCATTTTGTCAACTGTGATTAGGACAAAAGCATAAAGCCAACAATGTTGATTTATGAGTATAACTGTGTGTATGTTTGGCAAAATGTAAATTTCTGATCAGTAACATTTGGGTTAGTATAATGGCAATTTTATACTTTGTAGTACATTTCAAAAGAATTTAATCATTATCACTGGTGTGAAGGAGACCACTGAATGTTTAACACACATATGGATGAATTTATGTTAGCAGGCATACTCAACTAGTGGAAAACCCAATTTACATACTTGTGCATCGTTTTACCACTAAATGGTTGTTTGTAAAGCATAATTTCTTTCACCAATCCTTCTCTACATAAGTTAACTAAGTATTATTGTTTCAATATCAGATGGTGGAGTCCTATCCTGGTCCGCTTTGGTTTTTCTGTGCCAATTATCATTATTGCTTTGGCATTTGCATTTCTTATTCAAGATATTTATTTATTTTGTTTGTTTATTAAAAGGCCTATAGCTCAGACATGTCAATGCACCATGAGCGTCTTTGCCTGATAGACCTACCGGCGCACTATAAATGTCGTTTTTTATTAACTCTGCCAGGAGATATATGTTTTCAGCCTTGTAAGTTTGTGTGTGTGTGTGTGTCACATTTTCGTGTTTCGTGTGTTTTTTTGTGTGCGAAACATCTTTAAAATAAGGGAGTGTTAGATATGACCCAATGAATAATTGATTAAATTTTGGTGATGGTCTGGAGTAGGGTGTGAGGGATTTAAGGGCAAACACTTTATCAATAATTCACTTCAACGAAATACTAAACCAACCAACAATACTAAATAGCTAATGTATCAATAGCTATTGTTTAAATTAGGTGATATGCAGTAAAAGAGTAGGGTGTGAGGGATTTAAGGTCAAACACTCTACACCAGATGTTTCAAAAAGGGATCAACTAATCTGAATAAAACTTTTGGAAAAGTTTAACCAGGTTACAAGAAAGAAATTTATTATGTTTTGGCGACGATCCAATTTAGGGTGTAAATTTGAGGGTCATATAGATCTTAACCTAATCGTTGGGTCAAAATGAAATGTTCTATAATAATTTGTCATGGTCCAATGAAGAAATAATTACATTTTGGTGACAATCTGGAGTAGGGTGCGGATATGAGGACCATTTAAAAAAAACGTTCCACACTAGATATTTAAAAATGTAATCAACTGGTTTGAATGAAAATTTTGTGATAGTTTAATCAAGTTACAAGGATAAAGTTTTGGTGTTGATCCAAATTCGGGTATGAATTTGAGGGTTATTTAAAAATTCTAAGGTCCCAGACCTAAAATTTAATCACTTTTTTTTTTTCAAAAACGCAATTATTGTACCGTAGGCAGAAACAATAGTTATATGATGAGTATTTAAATTAGTGCAATTACAGTAAAATGTGTACAGCATTTTATATGTACTAACTTCACTTTTTTGGGAACTGATTGGGAATATTTTTAATGCATATTTATATTTAAAAATGTGACACTGAAAACCAATACCCCTTATTTCTATTTGCATATTATTTCAATTTCAACACCCATGCATGGCATGTAGTTTTTTTTGTCAGCTATAAAAGTAAAATGTTCCAGTGTGTTAAACCAGAAATGAGGGATTGGCAGGTGTACAACTGAAAAATAAATGGTGTTTTTTGAAAAAGAAGTGATTAAATTTTGGGGACTCATCCGGAGTAGGGTGTGGATATGGACTATTTAAAGGAAAACATCCTAGATCAGATATCTCAAAAACTAATCAACTGATCTGAATGAAACTTTTGTGTTAATGTATTTTTTTAAAGTAGGGGGTGGTGGTTGGAAAGTAGAAACATATTTTTGGGGATATATTTTATGGAAAGGGATTTGCGGTAGGCAGAGATATGCTCTCTACTGAGTGCTCTTATTATTATTATTATTATTATTATTATTATTATTATTGTTAATTACCCGCCCAACACCAACAACAATAGGTATGCCAATTATATCTATATATCTTATATTTAAAGCAATATAGTTTAAGAGTATAATTCTGTTTGAATGCAAACCATTTTCTTCAAACATGGAAAATGACAAAAGTACTTTTCTCCTTGAAAAAAGTCATCCTCCACCATAGCAAAAATTGTGTATGTGATAGCAGCATAAAATTTTTAGTCTATAATTTTTAGTTTATTAATGAGCATTGCAATTCCCTATATCACATGAATAAAGAATATCTTGTGCTTTGTACCTTGCAGATGGCCATAATTTTTTTTAAATTTTATCATATAGCTTGTGATGATGTTCTTGGCTTGGATACCATATCTGGAGTGAGATCCACATCTGGAGGTGGGATAGGATCTGGTACAGCCATTGATGAGGAAGACCCATGGATAGTAAAAGGAGAACAAGTTTTTTACCCCTGGGTTAAGATTGAATTTAATCGCGCAGTTACCATCAATAGTGTCCTCATCCAAAAATATAGGAATTTGGAAGCAATAGAGATTCAGATAGAATATGTGCTACAAGGCAGTGGCTATATACCTGTATTTGATGTTGACTCAAGTTATCCAAAGGTAAACTTATTCTATAACTGGAATTGTCAACACACTACCAAGTACTATCACTATATTGCCACAATGTAACAAATCAGAAATGTAACCACCGATAGATGTCAATGTATTGGTGGTTACATCACCCATCACATTACACATCACACATTTCTTCTCTGGACCATTAGTAATTATCTTAGTTTTACTAATTTCTTAATAGACATTTAACCTATCCGGACTTCCAAGCATTGGCGACCATGACGATGACGTCATTGAAGTGCTACTTCCTAAAGATATTACTTCAACAACTGGTGTCAAGATCAAAGTTGTGAAGTTTGCAGACGATGGTCTAAGTCTACGTTTTGACGTAAAAGGATGTGCTGTTGGTATGTGTAGAAAATTATGTTTTTCCTACCGGGATTTGTGCCAATTAAAACATTAAGTGTTTCACCTTTTAATAGGAAATGCCTGTTGTCAACTGTGATTAACCATTGGGTTAGTATAAATGGCAATTTTATAATCTTTGAAGTACATTTCAAAAGAATTTTATCATAACCACTGGTGTGATGGAGACCACTGAATGTTTAACACACATATGGATGAATTTATGATGGCTGACATCACTGAATGTGGTTGTTTAACAACATTTATGAATTAATTTAGGTTAAATAATATTATTCATTAATTACAAGTTTTAAAAATAAGTTGCTTTACCATATACCTTGCGATCACTGAATGTGGTTGTTTAACAACATTTATGAATTAATTTAGGTTAAATAATATTATTTATTAATTACAGGTTTTAAAAATAAGTTGCTTTACCATATAGCTTGCGATGTTGTTGTGTTATAATTTATTTCACAATCCTTCTTTACAGGAGCTAGTTCTGTAGTAACCACCCAGCCAACAGCAATAGGTATGCCAATTGTATCTAATCTTTTTTACAGTAGATTAATAGTATAATTGTGGTTGAATGACATTGTGTTAAAACCTCATGCTTTATTATTAAAGTATGTTCCACTCATATGTTCACTATGCAAGGCGATATCAAGAGGAATTACCGTACATCACAATATATATACAATATTGTGATGTAATTCCTCTTTATATCGCAATATATATATATCACTGAATGTGGTTGTTTAACAAGATTTATGAATTTCTCTTCATTTTCACAGCATATTTTTATTATTTCTTTTAGTTTAGAATCTGTGTCCATATCGTAATTTTTTGTTACTATAAAATTACGATATGGACACAGGTTCTAAAATAAAAGAAATAATATTTTTATTATTTCTTTTATTTTAGAATCTGTGTATGTGTATTAATTTTATAGTAACAAAAAAATAAGAGAAACATTAATATTTTTAGTAATACCAGGTACCATCATACCATAATGTACATGAAATATATATAATAACAATGTACTCTACAACAGAGAGTTAATACAGCAATTCATTCTATTTTTTTGTTCAACTTCGATTTTTCTAAAATATTATCTAATTTCCAGACTTTTCAATTCTGCTTCTAAAGGAATATTACCGATATCCTCAGAAATTCATAAAATGAGGGTAACCCTACCTCACCAAACATACAGTACCACTTGCGCTGCAACTTCTGGGTCTCCCTAGTAACATTCTGACAGCATTATTGTAGCATATCCTGAGTGAGTTTAATGACTGAACTGTCCAGTTACATAAATTGCAGCAATGCATACTGACACAGCAAGATCTAAAGAAGTATAATTTCACGTTCTGCATAGGACATTTGATCGTATGCCAATAGCCCCTATTCTGCTTTTGAATGTCTGAATTATCACACAAAACATTTGATATAATTTGTCCAGGATACCTAACATTATCTATAAAAATCAACTACCATCTCATTTAAATTTATTTTAGGAGGCTTATCAGGTTGATTTGTCCGTTGGCAAAAAGACATGCATGCTGATTTCTCATTATATGAGCTCATTATATATTATGAGTACTTGTATAATCTTAGTATAATAAATCCATTCAAAATTGAATTAATTGAATATGTTTTTCTACTTGTTAACGCTTTTTTAGAAACTATGATCTCAATTTAAGACATTTTTCTCATGTCACACATTGGTAAATTATGTGACTAATAATTAGGCCTAAAATTTTTTGTTTGCCCTCCTCACCCACACCTAACTCACTGAAAAAAAAAATAGGGGTGCCAAAACTAAAAATTTTTTAGCTTTTTTCTTTGCAAATAAAAAAAAATGTAAGTGAATTGATCTTTATTTTTTGCCAGATACAAAGTTGTCTAAAGTTGTCTGATGTAAGTTATTAGGCACTTTACGCAACAGGACGTGAATACGGGTGGACAGTGGTTCTGTGCTCATCAGAGCGTGAAGACCACAGTAAACAATAGGTCGCTCAATCCGAATTGCTGTTCTCGTCGGCTCCCCGTCCTCTTACGTAAAAAGTGCCTGTTGCCATTCTAGGCCTACATTCATTGCAAAATATCAACTGTGGGTTATTTTTATTCCATCTGATGAGTAATCTTGGGAAAAAAAAAAATTTTTCCACCCACCCCTTTTTATCATTTAAAAAAAAGAAGGCCAAACAAACAATTTATTTTTTTAGGTCTTACTTTGAAGCATTTTTTGTATGTTTGTGAAATGATTTTTGATATGTACACTAATATTTTATGATGATATAAATGTAAAATATTTAAATTTTAAACAATAGATTTTATTTTTTTGCCTAGCTATTATTGTACTAGGCATGTCCTGTTTGCTCTGAAGCAGCCCATGTATGGATAGTATATGTATTTTGATATAACACTAAACTCACAAAATAACAGTCACTTAAATATTACTTATGTTTGCTGAATTTGGATATTTTAAAAAAAAGTATATTTCAATTAAATATTAATAGCAATCACTATGTTAGTGTCTTTTAATGTTCTATTGAAACACAGCAAGTACTACCAATATTCCATGTAAGGTAAGCTGTTCTTTTTTTTAAGCTTGATAAAACATTCCCAATAAGTAGTGTAGATATTGAGCGGTGGGTTTAAGCTCACTCTTTCTAAACCTTTTAATTTCATTTGTGCTTGTATTTAATAGTTTTTATATCTCTTTAAATTTATTTCATTTTCTTTTACTTTTTGTAATTTTGCTTATTTTTATTTTTACCAAACCTTGTGAGAGACCAGTACATCAATTGTATTGAAGCAAATTGAAAAACACTTCAGTCGTACCACAATGGCGAAATGATTTTGGAGAAAGAACTTTTAAATATCGCTTAGTTAATTATGGAATAATCTATCAGTAGATATGCATAGCAATATCCATTCCCTTTCCTCACAATCCTTTAAAAATCTCATTTAATTTACCCATTTGTTTTTCTTTTTTGTTTCTTGTATTTTTGTAATCTATATACTTTTTTTTATTTTTTTATTTTCTTATTTTTAAAAGAACTTTTAAATATCACTCAGTTAAATCAGGGAATTTTACTGAATTATGGAATAATCTATCATCAGACATTCGAAACAATATTCGTTTCCTTCTTTACAATCCTTTAAAAATCTCATTTAATTTACCCATTTGTTTTTCTTTTCTGTTTCTTGTATTTATATAATCTATATATTTGTTTTATGCATTTTTCTTTTAATTTTGTTTTGTAATTTAATGTAATTTAAGATCATACCCAGGACCTCAGGGAAGAACGGTGTAACAATACTGCCTGAATATCCAGAATACAGAAAGATTGCTATCTATCTATCTAAGCATGCCAGAATATTATTAAGAAAGATTTGTATTTGTAATGTATATCTACACCCCTTATTGTTACCTTATAAATTCAGGATTTGCTCAATGATGAAAATGTAATGTTCTTTTTGTTAAACTGGAATATCTTGGGTTTATCGAACTTTCCAGAATGTCAATCAAACTTAACAACTGACCAATCATAACAGGGCCTGGAATATGTGCTAGTTTCACACACACAAACACACACATACACACGCATTGGATGTCCCAAAACAATGTGTTGTCAAAAACACATGTACGATGTTTGCACTGTTATTTTGTGAAGTTTAGCTAAGATTTAGCATAATGGTCCATTAGGCACAATTCATAACATCTCAAAATATTTTTAACAAAATCTAAATATATATTTTATATATTATAGTATATTTTCATCACCAGGCTGGCACAAGTAGTGAAATCTCACAACATTGTAAAGTATGTGAATGCAATACAGAGACAGGCAAATATGATACCAATTGCACAGACACTTGTGAACTCACCTGTGAAGAGGTAAACAGGCTTTGATTTTATGACCATGTATTCAAAACGTAATAATCACCCACGTATCTGTGAATGAGATTTACTGAAATATATTCTTTACTTAAATTTATTATAGGGCTATGTGCTAGTATCAGGAATAGACATCTGCTGTTTCTGCGGTAAGACTCCTTATTTATAAAACAACAAATCGAAGGTATATTTATTCGAAAAACAGAAACAGAAAGCAGACAAAGTCTGAAAATCCCATTTGAGATGAAACAGCATCATAATCACAAACAATTTCAAATTAGCACAGTACCACTTTGCAACTGTTATTAATTCATTTCAGTTCATCTACTACTGTATCAGTATTCCAACAAATTATGGGTATAGCAGACCTAGGCCATCTTTCATTTTTTCAGATGGGCTCATTTAACATGATTTTACTGTTTCTTAAGCTGGCCACTACTGTGCCCGATGATTGTCGGCTGACAAAATTCTATGGTGAACGCGACACCACAACACGTGCGCAACAGATCGTTTTTTTTAATGATGATCCATTCAGTCTGCCACCGGCAATCAGCCGATGGTGTCGCGTCGTCTAGTACGCACAGGGAGAGGAGTAGGATACATCGTACAACAATTGTACGCCTGTTGTTCGATGCAGTGAGAGCCCGGCTTTAGGGTTATTCCATAAATAATAACTATACAACACAATAGAATACATTTTTTGTGGACAGTGCGATAACAGGTCAGGTTGAGCAGAACTTCATCACCTAAATTCATTACATTAATCAAGGTTATATAATTAGGGATAGGATAAACGAAAAACTGCATATTTAAACAGAAAAGAAAGTAGAAAGGTTCTAATACATTAAGAGCTGAAATACAATTTGTGGTAATTATTTTCTCTTATATGAGGCTTGGCATCCCAAAACTAGCATTAATATGAACAAAGAAATGAAAATGGACTTTTTAATGTACAGTATTCTTATTTTCCACATTCTTGAAAATGTTGTGTCATTTACTCGTATCGACTTACTAAATTGCCAAGTTATGAGTAAAAGTATTGCAGCTTCTCTGTACTAAAGTATACAATACTGCCACATAATTACTCATTAACAATTAGCGACAGTTTTGGGATAGCAAGCCTCATATATCAGATAACAGTCAGTTCTCAATGTGCATGCTATTTACAGTACATAAACTGACAAAAACTTTAAAAAAAACAAAAAAACACAATATCCACAATATGAAGGAAATGATAAGAAAACAAGACCTAAGGCCAACTCAGACAGCGTCGGCCGACGCAGCCCTACCCGATTTATCGTCGGGGACAGTCTTAAGCCGTCGTGAGAAATATTAAACATGTTTAATATTCTACGACGCGACTGCCCCCGACGCAAACCATCGCGTCTACGTTGAACTCACACAGACTCGACGCGACAACAAATCGCGTCGGGCTGCGTCGTATGACGCTGTCTGAATTGGCCTTTAGAAGAAAACATTATTTTTTTCATTATATTTAGAAATATTTGTGTAATAAGAATCATTTAAAGTTATGTATTTTTTCCAGTGCCCTCTTGGTGCTATGAGAGAAAAAATTATACATGTGACTTCATCTGTGGTGAAATCGAAACTTTTGATGGTGTTGCCTATGGATTTTCAGAGTGTAACAGTGTCATTGCACGTTCAACTAATTCAGATACCGAAGTCATTGGTAGTACAATTTTTAATGTTTTTTTTATATCCCTTATCAAAAAAATTAATAATAATAATTTATAGATAATTGCAGACATTAGGAATTATATACATCTCAAATGATTATTATCATTTCTATTGCACAACAATTTTCAAACGTGCCAGTAAATATTGTGATTTATCAATTATTAAATTGTATCTTGAAATATTAGAAGGGCTGACCCAGCCCCCAATTTTGAAAAGTATAAAAAAAAAAAAGTATAAAAAAATTCTCAATCTGCCCCACTTTCGGCCCCCTTTCGCACCCCCTTTCAGATATCTCTGGATCCGCACCTGAATATCTTAAGAGAAACGTTTTCTTAAGCGAGGAACACATTGTGTCGTACAGCTGTCATACGACCACTTCTTTTCAGTGCTTGATTATGTGATGCTGAGTCAGTGGTGGTGGTATCAGGAGACTTTTACCTTCCCCTCAGCCCTGAACCCTTGTCATCTGCGTGAAAATTAGGTATTCAGGAAAAAAAAAAAAAATTTTCTTATACAAATAATATTATTTTGTTTGCCAATCCCTAACATTGAGATCTGAAAGCACAATTTGGGCCACTAAGCCATCAAAACTCTCAATGTGAACCCTACCAAGCATTTTTTATTCCGAGACCCTGACCTTAGTCGGCGCCTTGGCTCGGATGTAATGATCTGTGTCTTTGTTAAACTAGTTCGCCAAGCAAGTCTGTACTCAGGTAAATGCTGTGACCATTGTGACCTTGATCTGATTTTCAACGTATGGAGAAATGAATTGTGGTATAAATTTATTGTTACTCGAAACACGGAATCAGTGTTCACACTGAATACAACAGATGAGGACATGAGTGAATGGGAAACAATAGATGTTAGCATCTGTGAACTAGAAACTGTGAGCAGAAGACTGAAGACTGACATGGGAGTTGAAATCAAAAAGGTTAGTAATATTATATAGGTCAGTTAAAGTCAGTGAAAGGCCAATGAGTTGACTATGGCTGATATGATGCAACCTTGTTGAACCCACGAATGTGAAAACGCCCACAAATGTAACGCCCACAAATGTAACAACACACCACCCACAAATGTAATTCACACAAATATAACAACCAGCACCCACAAATGTAACAAAAAGCACCCACAAACGTAATAATGATCATGGCCCACAAATGCGATAACGCCCACAAGTGTAACAACAAAACATGACCTCTTCGCCCACAAATGTAATAATTTTCTTTTAACTTCGAATGTAGGAGATAAGACCCAAAAATGGCCAAACCTCACATTTTGAGACTGAAGCATGTCATTTTGAGCGTTTGATTTTTAAGGCGAACAACAAAAACAGTGGAAGAGTCATTTTGTAAACGTCTGGGAGGGCTTAAAGGTCAAAGTTTAGTATATTATGTGTCAAAGATTATGTCATTTTCAGAAAATATATCTCATTCGAGGAAAAAGAAACATGCATGTAGGCCTAATGAATATTTTTAATGAAAATTAACTTACAACCATTGGTTGTCAAGATACAGATGCCCTATATAATATTTTCCCAACTAATTTGTGTAATTAAGCTAACTTGCATGTTATATGTGTTGGAGATATAATTTCTGAATTCACTTTCATCAAGTTCTCAAAACATAAACACATTTGTTTGTTATTTCTTCTGTAACTATGATTATTGCAAAAAAAATATGACGACTGTTTTGAAATTTAGAGCTTATTCAATGCTATAAATGACAGAGACATTTTTATAACTACATGTACCATTACATTATATCATGTTTTCCAGCATTTTACTTTATAATAACCTTTGACCTGAAATAACCTGAAAACTGTCACATCTGGTAAGCTTCTCCATCACATTTAAATAATAAACTATTTTTGCAGCATGCATAATGAACATAATGAATTAGACCTACTATCAAAATCAATATTGGACCTCAAATGACCTCTAACCCCTCCTAGACGTTAAAAAAAAAATGGACTCTCCTTTTATGTCAAATGGACCCATAAAAATTTCTTTGCGACCCAAGGCGGTATGTTGTTGTATTTGTGGGCTTTTTCACATTTGTGGGTTTAACAAACCTTCTTCAACTTTGGTTCTGTTACCTCAACTCATTATGTTACAATCCTCAAGAATTCATCATATTGGTTTGTCGGCTCAGAAACCTGTTGGCCTTGTAAAACCTGTATTTCTCAAAAATTGCAAAAGGAAAATCAATGATTTAGAAATTATCATTTAACATTAAACTAACAAACCAATCATCATAGCAATATGAAATGCATGTACATTTTTTTTTTTTGGAATTGCTACACTTGTTTACAAAATAACCTAACATAATTTTACAATACCAATCATGGACAGTGTGTTTTCATGGAATGCGGTGTTACAGGTAAATTGTGGGCACAGGACGTAAAATCAGCATGTTATGCTCATGTGTATATAATAATTTTATTTTCATGCATACGAACAATGGAATAAGCATTTAATTAAAGACTTTGATGACCAATGTCCTTAATCACAATGATAAGAGATATTTCTTTCTATTTTTACAGGCAGGAGATTCATTGATATTTATAGATGCATTTGGACTAACTCTGAAGTGGAGGCAAAATGGAACGCTCAATCTCAAGGTTACTGTAAACGGTAGTGGAAACACATACTATGGACGGTGTGGGATCCCTAACAATAACAGTAGTGATGACTTAATAACATCATATGCTATGTCAGTGCTGGCAGGATCTAGTAGTTTAAAGGACAGTGATTATAATTGTACAAACTGTGAACATTGCAATTGCTCAGATGTTTATCTGGAAAAATGTCGCAGATTGATAACGTAAGTAAATATATTTATCAAACTGTTTTTACATAAATTTTTTTATATCAATCTATTTTGTCAACTGCTGTACTTTTAAGGTCTATGGATGTTTTTTCACCTATATTATTAGCCTGAGTTCCAGGCCCTAATTTTGGGTTACTCACTCTTTATTGCACTTATTGCGCGCCATACCTAATTTAATTGGCGTCGCATACAGTACTCAATTTTTATTTTTTTTTTTTATTATTCCGTCTCTAAATTAACTTTCTCATTCTGTGGTGCTGTCCAGAATAAGAAAAATAAGAGACTTGTGGCAAGTCTACTATATTATGTGTAACTTCTACATTGTAATATGATACACAATAGTTATACAATGTTGCCATAATATAATGTCTAGTTGGTGGGAGTTAATAGGTTAAGTGCTTCTTTACACAAAATTAACACAAGAAATGGAATAAAACCATAAATTATCCTAACAGTAACCAAAAATAGAGTACCAAATAAAACGCAGGAGCTTTGATGCTCCCGTAAACTGAGAGCTCGCCGGAACCAAACTCACAGGATCACGAATGGAAATGGCATCTGACTATCCTGTCCTACCAATAAAAAAATTAAAATCTAGAGTAAATTTTGAGGATAAAGATATCAATCAGATTCAATCAGTTTTGCAAATAGATACAATAATTAATAACAGTGTTTGAAAGTATAGGAACACGATGTTATATTTGTATCAAGAATAGCTCTTTAATGAAAAGTTCTGTATGCGTATTTACATTTAGCTGTGCGTATGCTGTTGTGCTCTTGCAGTAGAACTACTTGTTAATTCACAGAGTTAGCGACGTTACACACATCAGCAGTACAGCAGCTGTACAGAGATGATGAATAACTATTGATAGAAGAACTTGTTTGTAATGCTTTTTTCAATTACAATTCAATTTTTATCAAGGTGCACGATAACTTCGCGGTAACGAAAAAATGAGGAATTTTTTTTTTTGCACACAAACCTAAAAAAATCAAGCCAAGTGTCCACTAATTGAAAAATTATTAGACTGTGGGGGATAGGAAAATAACATTGGGAATTGCAGTGATGATGTCACGATTGACTTATAATAAGAATTAATTGAATTTAGGAACATGATTTTTAACCAAGTCCTTGCTCAATGCAGTTTGTCGTCAAACACTTCTGTTTTTATGTTATGTTTATTCTTGCCCTTGTGTCTCTCTGCGGGGTCAGTGATATACAGTATGTGGTTTGCATTATCCCTTGCATACATTGTTTTCTCATTTCTTTGTTTTTATAATAATGTATAAAATTAGTGAATGATAGTAAGAGATGGCATGGTATTCCAGCATACATTATTATTATTAAGCAATTGAATAAATTGATGTTATGTCATTACAAACATTTTTTAAAATTGATAATTTTTAGTGATTCCCGCTTTCATGAATGCTCTGACTATGTGGATATAGACAAGTATTTAAAGATTTGCAGGGACAAAGTTTGTTCTTGTGTTACAAATCAAGATCCTGGAACGAACTTGGACAATTTGGCAGATCAGTGTTCATGTGAGATCTTTGATGAATATATGAACGAATGCCACGTTCCTAATTGCAAAGAATGGCGTGCTCCCAACTTTTGCCGTGAGTATCTTCCTCAATCTTTTTCAAATTTAGCAATCAAACTAAAGCTGTCTTTGCATTCAATGACCATATTTATTTGAAAAAACACCCTGCTTTGAATAAACACTCCCCTCTAGAGCCTCATTTGGAATTTTTTTCTCAAATTAAAGGCCTCCCTAAATGGCTGTAAACAAATCTAATGGAAGCAACATCATTTGTTAACACTTTATATTAATGTTCTACTCCAATAGTTTACATTTTTTCTCCCCTTGAATCTGCCACTGAAATACTCATCATAAATTATTTTTTCAATTTATCCTGGTAATCATAATCATGCCCACTTACATATTTCATGCAAACTAACATTCATAAAAATATTAAGGATTTATTATCTACTGATTAGTTTGTGACGTATTCGAACCATGAAAAACAAATAATAAACCATGTTCCTTCATGGATAAACTTAAAAAAGTCACTCCAATCCTATCTTTGCATACAGTACTTTTAAAAACAATCTTTTCCTTTTCTCCTTTTTGAATTTTACTTTTGTGTAAGTAGTATATGCGACTACGCTATTATGAGTGAAAATGCTACAGTAACTTAAGACCAAACAGGACTAAGGAGATAGGAAACACACACAACATTAGTTAGCATTTTAATTTCCCAAACATAACAGGTGATTTACTTTTGAAAGTGTGGGGGACGTATCCCAACTGTCCCCAAGCGATCGACGCCCATGCCAGTAAAAATACTCCATGATAGAGATTGATGTTACAGTGGCCTTATTTATTGTTTAATTGTACAAATTCCCTAAATTTACAGCATTCATTTTAAAAAGAAGCCCCTCTTTACTTTGCAAAAGTAACCTCGAAAAAAATGCCCATCCAAAGTTTGCAAAAAAAAAAAAAAAGAAGCCCAGGGCTTCAATTCAAGGTTTTACGGCATTGTATAAGCTCAGTTTCCATACAGTCGTTTACAGTTGTCAGTGACTCTTGATATCGATTCCATTTTAGCATGGGAGTTTATCGTACAGTAAAGTGATCAGAACGTAGCAATTCAATTCATTGACATTAGCTTCTGCACTCGCTAGTTGTGAGCTAAATCTCATCCTTTCATATCTCATAGCCATGATGAACAAGCGAGACCATCTGCTTTGGAACTCCTTAGTATTAAGCGCGATGAAGCAGACAACACTAACTTTGATCATATTATTAACTTATTTGCTGATGCGAAAGCATGCAAAATGCAGTTGTGAGTTTAAACATTGTTACAAATTCAGTAACTTACAAGACTCTACTATAAGATAAATTTAGAGAATAAGAATGCTAAGTTGTATGAGATAAATACAACAGCCGTACAACTTAAGATAATGGTAAAGTTGTATAAAAATTTGCGAACATCGTAATGCAGATTCAACAGTAAGAAAGAACCTAATATCAGTGAGAGTATAATAATAATTATTCAGGATTAAATAATGCAATTTAGACAGTTTGCTTATTTTTACGGTGCATGGTACGGACATACGGTATGGATATGCTTGAAGCCCATACAGCCAATATCAATTTATTTCACAATTTTATAATTATCATTGGTAGGGGGGGCACAATTTTCTACTCTTACCTGCCAAACCCTCTAGCTACGCCACTGAGAGCAAATGTTGATCAAAGCTGGCCATTTTCTTCATTATCGTCGTATTGCCAAATTTCATGTTCGTAATCATTCATCTTCTTGAAGAAAAGCTGATGACATCATCTAACATTGGCCAATGATTGGCCAATGGTTACCATTTGTTGTCAACAAGTCAGGAAGATTGAACCTGGTTCTACTTAGCCGATTTTGTTGCAGAGGATTCGGAGTGCCTTCCCGATTGCGTTGGGGCAGCTATACTTTGTAGCGACAGTGTAGCGATTGTGTAGAAACCAAGCTTTACAAGGAGTCTTTATTTATTTATGTAGCAATATTATATATCTCTATATCCATATGCTTATTTTCAGCTAAAAGCTGCCCCAATTGTGAAATCTATCAGGACTGTGGAGCTTGTGAATGGACTTGTGATAACTATTACAAGCCTGTATTGAACTGTGAATTGGAAACAGCCACTGGCTGCTTTTGCCCAAAGGATAAAGTTAGAGTTGGCAACGAGTGCAAAGATATTAACCAATGCGGTGATTGTAAGTAAATTATTTCTAATTGGTGAATACCACTTGAAATTTCAGGTAATTTGATGTGAACTCTCTCTTAACCCAAATAATTTACTTTTTCATTTCAGGTAACTGTAAAGTATATGGAAAAAGACACTTTACTATGTTTGATGCCAAATATTTTGAAAGCCTAGGAAATTGTACATATGTGCTGTCTCAAGAAAAGTCATCTGAATATGAGGTTTTTGTCACAAATGACGTTTGCGATTCGGTACGAAGTACAACATGCTTCTTTCAGATTGAAGTTGTCTATCAGAAACATAGTATATTACTGACCGATCAGATGGTAAGTTAAGATTTGTGTCACCTAAAGCCACCCAGCACTGATAATCACTATAGCTGATGCTATTCCACATATATTTTTTACCCTTCACATCCAACAACAAGTACACTCGCCACTCACAGGATGGAATGATGCTTTATAAGCCGAGTGTCTTTATGAGACTTAGAAAGTAGAGTTGGTTTTGATTGTGAGGAAAAGTCCCTTCTGTTACAGGAATTGAACCCAGACCTTTGGATTTGAAGAAAAGCATCTTAAGCACTATTCAATTCCACTCGATTAATATAGAATTTCGCATATTGAGGTGCAAGCACAAAATCATTTTTAATGGCATCTGCTTGCACTGCCACCGACAAGTAACAGAATTAAGCCGGGCACTCTCTGTGCCCAACGATCGCCAGCCAACGTAATTCCACATAGAACGCCATAACGCACATGCAACGGATCGTTTTTAACAACTATCCGTTCAGACTTCCACCGACAATCAGCAAATGACATCGCGTTGTCAAGCACTCAAATGGAGCAGATTTGGATACATCATACGACCGTGGTACCCTGCAGAGAGTGACCGGCTTAGCTCACTTTTTCAAGCTCTCATAGGGAACATCAGAGATGGGTTGACGACGATTGTTGTCTGTTGCAGCTTAACATGGATTATCCATTGAATTATAATGTGAAGACTGAACAATACACAGAATCACTTCATTTAATGTCAAAGAACACATACACCATTAAATTCAGAAAATTGTGGAGATTTTTGCCCTGTTTTTTTCTATTTTAATTTCAGGTTTCTGTTGACTATGGAGACTGGGTCAAAGTACCACCAAGCTTTGAAAAACATGGATTCCGAGTAGAGAACCAGGCAACATACATCATGGATTTGTTTATTGATGCCATTAATCTTGAACTTAGGTTCAATTCTGAAACTTACATGGTAGACCTTTCTATACCAGGGATCCGGTATTATAACAAAACGGAGGGGATGTGTGGTACGCTCATTTTGGCATGGACTGTATTATATTAATTATAATAACTTAATTTTATGCAGGCATCTATTATTATTTAATTCTGGTATCTGCCAAATTTGTTATTATTGAGGTGCTTTGCCAAACAACCATATTTTAAAGGTATAAAACATCTATTTGGAAAAATCAATTATAAAATAAGTAACTGTTTGTTTATTATATGGTATGACAATAATAAATGTGATAGCACATACTAATAATGTATAACAATACTGTAATAATATCTGTTACCCAATTCACATGTACAAACATTGCAAATTTTTTTTTTTTTATTTTATCCAATCTGTTTACAACAATGCTGTTAAAAAAGACCCTCTTTTTAAAGGGGCCTCTACAAAAAATATCAGTATTAATTTGAAAAATACAACAGTTAATTAAATGCAGAATGAAGAAAAAGTAAAAAAAAAATCCAATTTCCAAGATAAGCACTGGCCATACCAAAAAAAAAGAAAATTTTGTATGAGGTCAAAACTTGTAACAAGTTGGTGCTTCATTCATTTGTATCATGATGAAACCAAATTAAATAACTACCAAGTCAGGCTCTGGAGGAAAACTATTGTTTGTACAACTGTTTTTTTTTAAAGACTTTTTTTAAAGTATTATAGTCAAGACAATTCAACAGAAAGGCACACATCTTCACTCGCGAACATAGCGCGTGCATACTGTCCTGTGATCTGTGAACTGTGCCATCGACAATTCGATTCTAGTTGCGAGTACCCATCAATTATTAGTCTATGCGTGCCATACATTTTATGGTGTTAGTTACTATTTTATTAATTTTGGGTACTTCGCATTGTCTGTTACACCTGATTTCTTTTGACCACAAGCTTGTTAATTGCTTCTGTAAATTACAATTTGATTCATGAAAATTGATTAACAAAATGAAAAGTTATAGCAAATGAAAACATACGATTTTTATAAAAATTCATGTTCTTATATAATATTAAATTGTCATTTTGAAAATGTTGGACTAAGGTGCACGTAACAAACATTTAAGTAGTTACAGAAAATTTATTAATTTTATCTGCGAATTGAGTCTCTTGTTAATGTTGAAATAACGAATATAATTTCAGTCTAACGTTAATGCAAAACATCATTAGGCCTTTGTAACCACTGCACGATTCGCGATTATCATGGCAACTGACATTCACTGGGTGAATTATGGTTTGGTTGCTATGCTTTTTATGACGATCAGCATGTAGGAGCGGGCAGCGCGTAGAATGTCAATACCAGAGTTATATCCGTTGATGTCACGAGATGTGCATATTGTACTTTTCTTGAGTTGCCTTGGTATGTCATCATAATCCTTTGGCTCCTGTTAACATTTTAGATCTGCATAGGGTATCAAGGTATATAATAGAATTGAATCACAATGAGGATAATCCTACTATGATAATCTTACGTGTATATATGGTTGTGTGTAAAAACTTGTTATATTTTTTCTGTGTGAGAATTGGGTGTCGGTATTATACAAATGCTAATGAAACATCCTAATGTATGTTAAAAGCAGTACAGTAAATGAAAATACAGAAAAGAAGTATTGTTGATGGCAACAATATGTTTTTAATAATAATTTCATCTAAAATATATTATTTTTGTGTTTTTAAGGTAATTGCCGTGAAAAGAACATTGACCTTCCAGATCCAAAAGATTGGATAATTGGTAAAAATTGCACAACAACCACTTGCAGAGAAGAGACCGAAATAGACACAACGATTTGTGATATTCTTTATGATAGGCCATTTTCAGATTGCAAATATTTCGTTAATCCTAAAAATTACCATGAAGCATGCAAATGTGATGTAAGTGAAGGCAGAGGCCCTTGTACGGTTTTCACTGAGTACGCTACAGAGTGTAGCTCTCACAATCAATGCATTGTTTGGCGTGGAAAAAATAATGAATGCTGTAAGTACCAAGTGATTATTATGGTTTTATAGATGATTTTTTTATTTACTATAAATCAAATACTGTATGATGATCATTTTACCGTCATCGATATTTTTCCTATTTCAAAATATTCATTGATTTTATACAAACCAAAAAATTATGATTGTATGTTTCAACTCAGTATTTTGTTTTTACATTATTCTTTATGACTTATTTTTTTATATTATTTTTTATGAACTCAGCTTGAAACTTTAAGGCGAGATTTTTTTATACCACACTGATTTTTTAAAAAGATCGTCAGCGGATCGAGGGTGGTAAAAAAATAAAAATTAAATTTTTTTTTTTCTTGTTCAGCAAATAGTTTTGGCAAAAACATCCAGATGGAAGAGAAAATAAAAATAAAATTTTATTAGTGAATGTAAATAAGATGGTTAAATGCTTCAAATTTATATAATTAGGAATAAATATATAGATATCTTATTTTTGGAGATTTCAAGGGAGCAGCACACATGATAAAAATAAAGAAAAACTTTTGGTTTTTTTTTCTGAAATTTCCATTTTTCATGGTGGGGGTGCACTAATTGGCCAAAAATAAAATGTTATTTTTATTTGTAATCGTCGTAAAAAGGTATGAAATAAATCTTGCCTTACCTCTTAACAATAAAAGCTGCCATTACATTTGATCTACTGAGCCTAACACTTATACTTTAATTGTTACCAGTGGTAATTTTCGTTGTAGCTGGTATTGGATCTCAATACAATATAATACGACTTTATCTAACAGATAGTAGCTTGTTACAATAAAAATATTGAATTTTGAATCTTGAACAAAATGGGAACTTGTGATATTCACATCCGCCTACCGGTATGTTCAAATTATTTCATTTGGCTTCTGATCTTTTATTAAAATTTACATAATGACATAACCTATATTTTTTTGTTTATTTCGTGAATATTTACCTGGATAAACATATTAATTGCCATTGTTCTTTCAAGAACAGCCCTATGACAAAAATAGAAGTGACCGAGTGGTATAACACAAAACCAAAATGTGTATTAAATTATAGATTAATAATTAATACTTTTAATTGTTTAGGGCTTTTAATATACCTGTATTTTTATAACTTTTCCTATTTTGTGCAATATTCATGGAACTTCATGTTTAAGGGGCAGCTGACCCTTTTGAGGTACAGTCATTTATTTGCTTTGGCTGTCCCTGACTATTGTTTTGTTGTTTCTTGTTGTTATTGTGCTTTTTATTGTTTATGGTCGAATAAATAAATGAAATGTCCAGCACGTGACTGTGCCCATGCCCACGTACTCATTGCTTCTGATTTGTGTAATTGTAAGGCACATTGTGGTTTTGTGCTTTATCACTCCCCAGGGCCGCCAAGAGGGGGAACTGTAGCAGGGGAAAGGGTTGGTGTGGGCCCCCAGCTAGAGCGCGAAGTGCGAGAGAGATTTTATTTGGGGGGAGGGCCTTTTCAATTTAAAGGGGCCCATTATTAAGGGACCCATGCCATTATAGAAAAAATGCTACCTGCAATTTCTATGGGCCCCTAGATCTTGCTCCTTACACTCCCACACCCCCCTCCCCCGGTGGCCCTGCCACTCCAACTTTTTTGCACTTGTATTACCCTAACGTACTCTAATATTTTATCGATAATCGCAGCAATTTTGTACAGAATTTTCTTAAATATTTATTTAATTACTTCTAGACCCTGCTACATGTGATAATGACAAAGTGTACAGGACGTGTCGTGGCAGTGATGTGTATGGTTGCGATGAATGGCTGAATAAAACCGAAGTAAGCTTACGCAGCAATGAAATCTTACTTGAAGGCTGCTTCTGTCCAGATGGTGAGATACTGTCTGATGAAGGACAGTGCATACCAACATCAACATGTACAGGTAAGCAAAAGAACATACATTTATTATATTTTAGTGGTGCCTATCTCACATGTTCTTGTTTATCAAGTGTATAGTAAATCAAGCTCATAAAAAATACTACATTTTTAGCTTTACTATTCTATTGTTTTTTTTCTCATTATGTATTGTACGTTACATTATTAATTATGGTATCTAATAATATTCATTATAAGTCAATCGTGACGTCATCACTGAAACTCCCAATGTTATTTGCCTGTTCCCCACCGTCCAATAAATTTTCAAGTAGTGGACGTTTGGCTTGATTTGTTTTAGGTTCGTGTGCAAAAAAAATCCTCATTTTTTCGTCACAGTGAAGTCATCGTACACCGCGATGAAAATTGAATTGTAATTGAAAATTACTTTCGTAAAACAAGCTTAATTAGAACCCGAAGAAAGTTACTTCAAATTCAATATTAAGTGAACAATTAAGGAATTCATTGAATCAATGGACCCTAATAAACACAATAAACTGAACATTTAATAGGAATATTCTAGACCTATTCTAAATTTAGATGTAGGCCAGGCAGGAGGCTGCCCAGGGCTCCTTATACTACTACTAGGCCGTAGCCTACCCTAGTTATGAAATCATCGCACAATTTTACCTGTCTGCATGCACCAACCAAAAAGGTCAGTGACTGTATTCTCTCTCGAATGCTGAAATGTTTATTTCTTTGACGAAAGTCTATCAAAATAGCATTACAAACAAGTTCTTTCTAACGCAATACAAATTCAAATAGTTATTCATCGTATCCTACTGTACTCGTGCTGATGTGTAATTAATTAAATGCGTACTGCAGGAGCAAAAATCAGCATACCCGCAGCTAAGTAAATACGCACACGTATACTGATCATATCATTATAGCAAGCGATGACTGCTACAACAGTTGGTTATCAAAAACTAAAATTAAGATGGTGATTAACTTATAAAGCAATTAGTAGAGCATGCATTGTACACAAATGGAAAATTATTATACTTGGGTTAGATTTAATGCAATCAAAAATTTGAAATTTTTTCAAGCATTAAATCTAACCTTTATAATAATTTTCCTATAGTGTACTATGCAGAGCTCTACTAATTGCTTTTTATATTTTATTGATGAAGCAATTGATTGATTTGTATAGCTCTTTGGTTATTCTGTCCAGTAATCTACTTCTTTTTTTGTAACAATAATAACAAATATAGTGCCAATTCAAAATTTCTCAAAGGCACTAAGTGAGCAAATAAAACAAGCTAAAACATGTAATAAATTGATTTTTTAAAGTTTTTTCTTAAAAGAAAGCAAATTAGTCAGTCGAATCACGAACTGATAGCAGCAAGAAATTCTAGGTAAAGGGGGCTTGGAAAGAAAAGGCACGCTGATCATAATTTTTTGCTTTGCTTGTAACGTTAGTACATAATTTTATTCTTGTTTTATGTATCAAAATAAATGAAATGATGATTAATAATAATTTCAAAAAGTGTACATTTGTTGTGCGCTTATATCCATCCAAGGGGACGCTCATGGCATATTTAATTTGGCTGGTTACCTTTGAGCTGGGGACCTGCAGTAGCCATAATGAAGCACCTCCAACATATAATAGACACATTTTTCTTATTCCGCTTTAACTCTGATCGATCTAGAACTGGGTATTCAATGCAGAAAACAGTACCTTTTAGCCAACTGCTCAGCAAGTAGTATTTGAGTCATTTTTCTTTCTGACTCCTTGGGCCCTGATATGATGAGGTCCAAGCACAATGTATATTTTTTTACTTCCCTTCCTATTTTTTGTTTCCTAATAAATGTGTTTGACTACAAACTTTTATTTTGTCTAAATGAAGGTGGCTAGTGGAACATTAACAATACAGTATAGTATGGAACTGACTATTACTAATGTAAATGCTTGCTAATTTAAATAAATAACAAAAACTTACCTTTCTTATTGTTTATCAGTTTGTGAGGAAAAAGATGGAATTCGTCGCCAGGTAAGATATATGGACTTGTTAACCTGAATGTTGAAAGAATAATTGAAAACTTTTTATGACTTGGATGAATAAATTGTTACCTACTGTCTATTCTAATATACTAATAGTAATGAATAGAAACAAGATAATCGGCGATTACAAATCTTCACCCTGTTGGGCCATTTTACATACTAAAAAAATAATGATCTGCAGTTGATCCGCTCCATCCACCAAACGAGGCTTAGCATTATAGGCCTTGTGTGGCAAGCCCATCATTCGGGAAAGTTTGCACGCTGTCCGGATCGCAGGCCAGAATTGGACACACAGTCGATACAGACGATCCACTTGAGTCAGTCCGCGGTCAATCCGCACAATTTGGCATAGCCTAGCCAAATGTCTTGGTCAAATTATCTGCTTGAGTTGGCTCTGTCTGGTGTGGCACCTATGACCAATCAGCACCAAATTCTAGGAGGACCCAGATACAAAAATTAAAGTAAATCGGTCCGTTAGTGCCATAAGTTCAATGTGTTAACAACTGTTTCGGACAATGCTCTCAAAGTCCGTATTGTCTAAATATAATAATACGATGTATTGTATTTATTATATGTGTTTAACATATACAGTATTTGTCGAATATTAGTGTTGTATTGGCATACTGTAGAGAGCGAAATCAATTGCCTCCAATCGCATTTGAGCCTCCAACATAAGCCTTAATGGCACAGTTGGTTCAAGTGTCTGCATAGACAGCAGAAAGCCCCTGGTTGAGGAAATTGTGTTTGCAGAGTCCTCTGCTTTATTATTTACAATTTTTGTATGTATGTTTAAAGCAGTATGATTTAGAGTGGTGGTTGGCTTAAACCAGAACAGATATATATATATATATAAATCATGATACAATAGACATAAATTCTAATGGTAGTGCTAGAATGTACAAAATTTGTATAAATACTTGTTTTTTTCTTGTTTTTTCTATTTTCCCAAAATGACAAATCAATCACTAACTTACTGCAATGTTGTTTTTGTGTAGTTAAACGAGAAATGGGATAAAGACAATTGCACAAACTGCACTTGTAGTGAATTTGGAATATACTGCGTATCTAAGCAATGTCAGAAGTATAAGCCTGGGGAGTGTGTAAGTTTATCAATTTTATTATTTATTTCAGTTTGATAAGTTTTATGCTGATAGAAATATGTGCCTCTACGGCCTTCACATTTATATTACCAGTGGCAGAGACCCGAGCCCGAGTTGGTCTCCTAAATTTGTAAAAATTATTTTAAAAAATATAGAAAAAAAGGAAAATTACAATTAAATTTAGGCCAGAGAATGCCATTTCCGACCATCTGGAGGTTCCGTAATCATAAAATTTCTTACCTGATGGGGTTTAGACCGCCAACCCATGGGTCACAACCCAAGTTTGTGTCGTGGGTTAACTTTTGAGGGTCGTCACTCATCAGGTCACATATGGATCTCAAAAAATAATAGAAAAGGTGTTAATACTAAAGTGTTGCAATTAACCAAACCAAAGGATTCCTGTGAAAACATAGATCCATAACTTAAAAAGTTTTTTTTTTTTTTTTTTTTTTTTTTTTTTAAATTGTGTTAAATATGTGGTTGTTGTCACCTGATTTAGGAACTGATACACTTGATACAAATTTAATGGTGAATTTGATGTCTTAAAATAAATCTCAGCAATTTGCTGGCAGAAAAACCAGAGTCTATATCGAATGTGTAACTCGGGCAGGGCTAAACACTTACCTGAGGAACATATACTGTAACAGCAATTGCTTGGATTTAGGACCAATTTTTAATGTCAATGTCAGTACATCACGATATTATTTCTATGGCGAATTGATTGAGGTGGCATATGGCTTCTCACTTCTGACGAACAAGGTCAAGTGGCTATTAGGTTATACAGTAGGTGCCATTCTTCACAATGAAATATTGTTACAAGATAAAAAATATTATTTAGATATTGACAGTATATTTTCTAAGGGGTGGGATGACTGGAGGTCTTGTGTCGTGGGAAACCATGGCAGTTCTTTTTTTGGTCCTATTGGTTGGAAGGTTGCCGGCCATAGGTCTAGACCGTCTGTCTGTAAAAGTCCCTCCTTGGGCCCCCCCACTATTTATAATTCCTGGATCCGCCACTGATTACCCCACCTTGGGGGTGGGTCACTTGATTCAACATCTATGAAACACATACATTCAGCTACCTGGTACTGTAGTACCATTCAATGGACCTTCTGAAGCGTCATGGATAGAAGCGTCCTCGTCAAGGCCCTGGGAAACGCCAATTTTACCACCACCACAAGGTATATGAGGAAAATGTTCCCGTTAGCAGAAATCGTCCATAGTGAGCTGTCAGATGGTTGAGAGTGAGCTGTCAGATTGCTCCATAAACTTAACTTAATTGATTCTAAGAAGAGAGTCCTCAAAAATGGCTGGCTTGTGACATTATATCCACCGGAATGTAAACAAAGCAACCAAATACAATTGCTCGCTTCTAAACATAATCTCATGGGCTTCAGTGGCAATAAATAAATTTAAGAACTCAAAGATCTTCAACATACCAGCAAGATGTATTACTCAAGTTTTGTCAAAAACTCGGGTGGTATGGACCACTTCTGCTAACGGAGAAAAATGCAGCATGATACTTGTATCACCATTGTCATCATGCCTAGACTACACCAGAGTGTGTCCTTTCTAGGGCCAGCCCCTACGGTCACATCTGCAAAGTCAAAGATTTCTGTGGACATGATAAGAAGAAGTGTTAGACTTAATAACAACTATCCAATCAGAACAGCTCCAGGAATGCTCTCTATTTACAAACACACATTTTGTCTAGGTTTGTCCCAAAAACACGCTTGTTTGTATGCATTTATATTTTGTGAGACCACGTCAGCAACAATATCCAAAGGGCGGGGAATCAATTATTTTGCTGCTACTAATCATGCACTGGCACTAGAACCTACCAGGTGTCCACTTATACTCTTGGATGGAGAGAATATCAACATGGAGGAAGACAAGTTGCCAGTTTAAAAAATGAACCCTGACTTTTACGCTAGAAATCCACAAAGTTTTAAGCCCTAGTGTCCAGACTATCAAATTTTATTTGACAAAAGCATGTGACATGCCTAAATATGGTCATGATGACATCACATCTTGACCATATATAGGCATATCATGACTAAATATGGTCATGATGACATCACATCTTGACCATATATAGGTGCACCATGACTATATATGGGCATATCAACAGTTTGATAGTCTAGACAGAGCTTTGCTGCAGGAATCATTGCTTTCACAAATACCAGTTCATATTGAACTTCACCATTACCAATCCTGGTTGTGTGGAACATTTAGCCTGTCTAAAACCAGGCACTCCCAGCGTTGTACGACGGTCGGGGGACGAACCCAACTACTCCCTGTGGGCGTTAGACGACGCAACACCATCTGCTGATTGTCAATTGGAGTCTAAACGGATATATCGTCATCAAAAACGATCTGTTGCGTGCGTGTTGTGGCGTTGCGTTCTTTATGGAATCATGTCGGTCGACGACCGTCGTGCGCAGTGGGTGCCCGGCTTCAGACCAACTTTTTTTTGCAATTTTGTTTATTATAAAATCTTATATCAATTAAATCTTCCCTGTCTGATACCAAAGCTCTGGCAGGGAAAATGATTATTGCTTCTCTGTCTACAGTATACAATACTGCAGCTATGCCACTTCTTATGCTAATTACTAAGTTTAGGATGATGTTGTATTAAGTGCTTAGAAACTCAACATCATATTTCTACTGACCAGATGCTTCTGACATTCATGTTTTAATTTAAATGACAACAACAAAAACAACAATAAAATATTTCACTATTATTTCTTATTTTATTCTTTGTTTTACAGGAACGTATTGATTATACTGATGATAAATGCTGTGGAACATGTAGTAAGTACAGATAGGAATTTAGGGGTTCAAATTCAAGATGAAATATATTGGCATTGGTACCTGTGTGAATATGCTAATTACATATTTACATTTCAAATTAAAAGTTTATGCAAATAAATAATTATTAGTGAAATTACTCTGTTCACCATACCATCGTAAATATTTATAAGGACATAAAGACTAAAATGTGTAATTACTGTTTTAAATTAAAATATGATGTTGCTTTTATAGTTCCTGTATACGAAACCTGTCAGCCAAAGGTAAAGGAAGAACCACTTCAAGTAAATGGATGTGTCAGTGCTGTAAACATTACACAACACTACTGTGAAGGCAGATGTGCTTCCACGTCACACTATGTACATGAATACGATCAAGTATCGCCAACAGTTGTGAATCAGTGCAAGTGCTGTCAGGTGAATGACTTTGAAAAAAAGAATGTGATTTTGATGTGTTCAGATAATACTCCATATAAACATGAATATTATTCTGCAATTAGCTGTGGTTGTAAGGAATGCAGAAGACAGTGAGGGCAGCCAAACCTACGGACCAGATACGCATATGGAATAGACAGAAAATGTTCAAATCAGGGTTGGAACCAATCCTGAATTTATTCCCATTTTATAACAAATATTTAGAGATATTTATTTAAACTTTTAAAATTTCATCAACCATTTTAATTCTTTTTAATTTTTTTCAAAATTTAATTTTTATTGATTTGATTTTGTTTATTTGCAAAGAATATAATGTATCAAGACTTACTGATTTTTAGTTAATATACATGAACCAATCCTGAATTTATTCCCATTTAACAAATATATTTAGATATTTATTGTAAACTTTTAAAATTTCATCAACCATTTTAATTAGTTTAAATTTGTTCACAATTTAATTTTTATTGATTTTATTGTGTTTAATTGCAAAGAATATAATGTATCAAAACTTATTGATTTTTAGTTAAACAACACAGTACACTACATAATAACACAATATAATTTTATGAAATTATCATGGCTCTAACAAAAATGTATTGACTGATTCATCCAATGATTGATTGATGGCTTGAGTGATCGATTTGTTGAATGATTGGTTGATTTCATTTATTGGCAGCTCTTATATTATTTTCATCCTATTTTTTCTTGACAATGATGTTAATAACATCGACGAAAGCTCGCAGTAAGTTAACATCTATTGTGTTTGGCTTATTACCGATCAAAACAATTCTATAATAATTTTAAGCAAACCAGATTAAACTATTCAAATATTAATTAAATTACTAATCTAAACAGCTTGTAAAAATTATATGGGCTTAAACTTCGCTTAGATAGCACTGCATGAGGGAAGTCTGTTATATCAATTGGATTTCTATCACCTTTACTAAATTATTATCCTATTATCATTGTTAATAATTAATTATATTTGAATTGTTGCAATTGATTTTGAAGTATAATAAACATAGTTATAGTTTGCATCAATATATAAAATGTGGTATTTTTTATTTCAGTCTGGAATCAAACATATATTTTCATCAACAACAATGTAATACAATAAATCAAATAGATAGGCTACTTTTTGGATAATATCCTGGGGAGATTTAGAGAGGGTGATCAAGAGGCTTTGTGCCCCTCCCCCTTAAAATTCACAGCGTACGTAATTAAATGCTGATTGGTCATTTTGTTACCCGGAAGTATGCAAGACGTACAACGATTAAAGCCCGGCCCACTGCTCCTGTGTATGTTGTGCCAACTGCAGACAAAAAGGTTACAATCATTTCAGAAATAAAGCTAGAAGAAAGTTCCCTTATCGTATTCACAAGTGTTGTTAATAGTTTTTACGCCACCTGGATATTTATACCCACTGTTACAAGAAGTCGCATCACATATACTAACAGAGAGAAGAACAACCATTCTACTTTTCATAGATGTGTAAAGTCCATAAAATTAATAAACATTTTAAATTGAAATTATAGACATTACAAAGACACACATCATATACGCTAATATTCAACAGGCTAAACGAAGAAATAATTAAGAATACAAACAAGCTGAAGAGAAAACAAATGAAATTATGGACATTATAAAGACACACATCATACACGCTAATAATTAACAGGCTAAACGAGGAAATAATTGAAAATACAAACAAGCTGAAGAGAAAACAAATGAAAGAATAATTATTTAAATAAGGAACACGATAGTAAGGAAAAGTACTAAAATTACGGTCTACATCGATGGGCGGAATTTTGATTAGTCAGTTTACTCCGTCAACAAGTTTTAAAAACATAAGGAGGTATACAACCTACCGTTTGTTTCATCCTCTGGTGCGTCCGTCCTAAAAGAAATAAAGATGTTCACAGGTTTTGTGATACCACCGAAGAAAGAGTTTTCATGCTTATTCTTTCAGCCAGCTAATAGTTAAAATAACACCAAACTACCGTAATACACTATAATTAATTTGAAACCAGTATCAATGTCGTAGTTACCAACCGTCTCGCATCGTGCGGGACGGTCCCGCATTCCAAAGTGATTTTGGATGAAACACGCATTTTGCAAAAACACATGATCTTAAATTTGTCACGCATTTAACACAAGTCTATGCGTGGTAACGATTTATCACAAATTCAGGAGAAAATGTATTTAAAATAAGAAGAAATTGGTTGTATTAGAACTATAAAAACGGTGATGCAGTAACTTGAGTCATGAGAGAGTAGTATTTCCTTGAAGGCCCTATTTATTTCACTAACGAGTTACTAAACATTGATCAGTAATGAAATGTTTGTGCAGGTCTACATAGTTCGGGTGCTCAAATTAAACATAGGCCTACATCGAAACTCAAATTGGCTTTATTAATAATATTTTTGCTTATGTACCTGTATTATCAACCTTCCCCTGGAATCGTTTTAAAACAGCTTAAAAATTCTCAGATCGTCGGGGGTCCCTGCCGCTTGAACCCCCTCCCCCAACAGCCAACTGGTACAGTCACTCACGCATTTCAAATCTTTCAGGTTGGTAACTATGAATACGTTTTCAGTGCACGCGCCGACGTGGAAGGATTAACCTAATAATCTTGTTAATAATGCGGTTATAAAATTGATCTTATGACCACAACTTAACTTCATGAAAAATAATAATGCATTTTTATTGTACTGCCACCAGCTGGGAAAGTAATTAAATATGCATAAATGTCTTCTGTGATTGGTTGATTGCCAACATTTCAATGCTTAGTGGTTGGACGGTCGGATATAATGCGTAACTCTCATAATAATTTCATATTTCGAAAAATTATTTGGAGTATATGATCACGTTCCATGATAGATTATATTACATCCACAGGGTGCCCCTAAGCCAAAATTTCAAAATTAAATAAATTGCGTTTTTCCGAATCACGACAGACTGAGTAGGTTAGGCCTACTAGTTAAAATGTAAAAATTTCAGATTTTATTTTTAAATCACAGAAAATCACAAATTTATATTCAGTACATTCTCGGCTGTCTTGGAAATGTGGACCTTATCAAATTTGGTTGGGTGCGTTATACACACACTTCGTAACACCCCACCTAGATATACGGGCCTGGAAACCTTACATGTTACCTGCCAATACAGTATTATTAATAATAATAATAATTTGGATTTGTAAAGCGCAAAATACATAGGTCTCTATGCGCTAGAAATTTGCAAATTAAAATAAACTAAAGAGATGAGTCTTGAGACGATTTTTAAATATCTCAACAGAAGGAGACTCACGAACAAAGATAGGCAAGCTATTCCACACCTTGGGAGCAGCAACGGAAAATGCTCTTTCACCATACGTTCTTGTAGGCCCTACGACATGAAGGGATGAATAATGTAGATGAACTAGATGTAGATCGTAAAGCTCTAGAACAAGTGGTGGAGCGAAGTTTAATCAGGTTGGATATGTATGAGGGTGATTTATTATTTAATTATTTATATGTGAAAAGCAACAATTTAAATGAGATGCGTTGCTTAACAGGTAACCAGTGCAGGCGACGAAGAGTAGGTGTTTTATGCTCAAATCTAGAAACTCCTGACACAAGACGTGCAGCCATATTCAAAAGAAGTTGCAGCTTCCTTATAATGCCTTTGAGGAAGACCATAAAGTATAGCATTGCAATAGTCCAACCGAGATGTAATTAAGGCATGGACAATCTTGATAGCTGCATCATCAGTTAAGAATCTTCCAATGGTTTTGATGTTGCGTATATGATAAGATACTGCTTTACTGATGTTCTTAATGTGTCTATCCATTGTCATTGAGGAATCAAATATCACCCCAATATTACGAACCTCATTGGATGGAATGACTGAGGTGTTTCCAATGTTGATGTTTTGAATGATAGGCACATTTCTAAGATACTTCGGGTAAATAAACAGTATCTCCGTTTTATCAGGATTGAAAGAGAGCATATTTTTCGCTAACCAGACTTGGACATCTCTGACGCAAGCTTTAATACAGTAGTTAGCTTAGTTAGCTTAGTCTTCCTGCACTTGGTTTGAAACTAATATAAAGCTGTGTGTCATCAGCGTAGGCATGATATTCAAGACAATGTTGTTGAATTATGTTACCTAAGGGAGAAATATATATAAGGAACAGAATGGGACCAAGAATTGAACCTTGGGGGATTCCGCATGTAAGGTCAATATAGCCCGAGGTAGTGTTCCTTATGTGAACCAATTGTTTC